TCCATTATGCATAGATATAGAGATAACATATATATGTACCATATAAATAACGTTATTTTGTTCGTGATAAATGTTATACTGTCAATTATATTTTTATCTGTAACAACTGTAGTTTTTATTTGAAAGATATCTGGTTAAAATTTTAGTAGATAGTAAATACCACTCGTCGATTTTAATTAATAAAAAATTATCATTTTTATGGTCAATCTGTTCTATAAAATGGACCAATCGTGTTATCTGATTATTGATTTTAAATAAACTTAGATGATATTAAAATAACTATGAGATTATAAATTATAATTTAATTAATAATATTTTAACATGAAAATAAGGTAATATTTATATTAAATTTTAAAAGTGAAATATGTTAGATTGATAATAAATAAACGCAACATATTTCACCAATCCCAAACAGACACGTGGTCCCCACCACATGACCATTTATCCCAACTTCTAACCGCTACCATCCCCTTAAAACACATAATGGTCATGTGACTTCTTTTGACCACCCCAAGAAACACACAACCATCCCTTTAAAACCCTCTCTTAATAACTAATACTAATTAATAAAAATTAATTCCTAACTAACTGTTAATTAATAAAAATTAACTCCTAACTAACTGTTAATTAATAAAAATTACCTTATAAATAATGATGAATTTTCATTTTATTATTACGTCGTGCAAAAAACTTAAACTTTCGAAGATAACTCATTTTTTTATTATTGCAGGAAATGTCATTTTTTTACGAAGATAACTCAAATCAAGGTGTTGATGACGCTCACAATTTTTATGAAATGGAAGAAGCTCAATTTTTCACATGGTCATCTTCATTCTATACAGATTAGGTACAATAAATTTTAAATTATCATTAATATTTATCATCTCACCATCAACAAAAATATATATCACCTCACCATCAACAAAAATAAATTTAATTKTAGGTTTTAGACAACTCCAATCTAGGTGTTGATGACGCTCACTATTTTTATGGAACGGAAAACGCTCAATTTTCTACATGGACATCACCATTTTATACCGATCAGGTACAATAAATCATAAATAATAAATATTTATATTATTTCAGTGAAATTAATACTTGTCACCTCACTATTAACAAAAAATAAATTTAATTGTAGGTTTTTAGGTCTCGTGAAGATGTGATGAATTGGGTGAAAAATACGGCATACTCTCTTGGTTATGTCATTGTCACAAAAAAATCAAAGCAATGCAAAAATGGTCTCACGAATAAATTGGTTCTTATGTGTGACCGTGGTGGTAAACCTAGCAGATCAGGATCAAGTACAAATACTAGTTCCAAAAAGACAGATTTTCCATTTAAGTTGGTAGCAAAATATTCTTTGGAACATCATTATTGGACGATGCGATCAACATAACCATCGCCCAGTGAATCTAGAGGGTCATGCATACGCAAGACGATTAAATAGATGATGAATTTCGTTTGGTAGAAGATTTGACGTGGAAAAGTGTGCCACCACGTGAAATTTATCAATGTTAAAGAATCGAGATGAGACTAACTTGTCACCACTCTCGACAATATATGAGGCACAAACGAAAATTCGCAAGCACGAGAAAGGCGGGAAAACAACAATGCAGGTTCTTATGTCACTTTTGGATATTCATCGTTATGTTTATCAGCCTTATACACACCCAGTTACAAACGAGTTGCAAGTTTTATTTTTTGTTCATCCTACATCTTATGAGATATGACGTGCATTCTCACACGTGTTGATTATTGATGCCACGTACAAGACAAACATATATAATATGCCTTTTGTTCAAATCGTTGGTGTAACATCAACCGACTAGACATTTTGCGTAGCTTTTGTTTTTATGAGTGAAGAAAAGATGGACAATTATAAATGGGCGTTGGAGCAGCTAAAAGTGATGCTAAATGAGTGCATGCACCCACGTGTTATAGTAACGAATAGAGAGTTGGCTCTCATGAAAGCGTGTGAAAAGTTTTTCCGCACGCCAATCATTTACTTTGTAGATGGCACATCGGTCAAAATATTTTGAAGAATTGCAAACAAACTATTAGGTCGCAACATGATTGGAACCTTTTTCAATCTGCGTGGAAGTTACTTATAAATTCTCCAACGTGGATGTCGTACATGGAAAACTATGAGAAACTTCGAACAGTATTGTCAAAATACTCCCGTAAGTCTTTTACATTATTTATTTTTCTATACAATATTTATTTTTCTATATAACACTTAATTTTCTATCAAATATTTATATTTCTTTCTAATACTTGTTTTTTTTTATCATTTCAGGTGTTTTAAGATACATACATGATAACTGGTTGGACAAATATAAAAATCATTTTGTCTCTGCTTCGATTGACCAATGTTTGAACTTTGGAAATCGCACTACCAACAGAGTTTAGAGCCAACATGCTAAGTTCAAGAATTACATGTATCATCAAAGTTACACTCTGGATAAATTTGTTATTTGTATTAATAAGATCGTAGAGTCACAACTCGTGGCAATCAAAGAAAGTTTTGGGAGAAGTAAAATTTCTCATTATCACAAACACAATATACCATGCTTCAGTTTACTACGGGGTTTCGTCTCGAATGAAGCTCTTGATTTGATGGTGAAAGTGATTAATCAGTCAAATAGTTTTCAACTAGATTCCTCAACTTGTGGTTGTCAACTACATAGCAATTGTGGGTTACCGTGTGCTTGCAGACTTTCAGTGTACATAAATTCAGGTTCATATATACAATTACTCATGATTGATTTAATAGTTTTAAGTATTTATATTTCAACATTTAAGACAAAATATATTTGTATATGCAGGTGAGTGTATTCCCTTGGATTCAATAGATATATTCTGGAGAACGCTAAATATTTCACCGGTAACATCTTTCCAAAGTGACAATATTTGTTGTGACGCTGAAGTAAACCATTTTAAAGAGCATTTCAACAAGCAGTCTGAAGCTGGAAAAAGAAGTTTCCTAAGAAAGTTGGTTGACATATTCAATCCAAGTAAAACTATCATGAAAGCGCCTACGATTAAGAGAAACACTCGTGGACGACCGAGTTTGAAAGCACAACAACAAAAACATGCTCCTCCTAAGAGTAAATATTCACGAACACGTAGCCAGTCAGCGAGGTTTTTTGGGGTTGATTTGAACGTCGAACCGGAAAGACATAGTTGTTACACGAACTATCAAACAAATTATGACTGCGATCCAATCCCAGATCTAAATGAGGAGCCAACGAGACATAGTTTGTTTGTGGATTTAAATGAAGAGCCGACTATGGAAGTCTCAAACTTAAACCAAGAACCTGTGACAAACCCTTTACTCGATCATATTCCAAATATTTTTTATCGCTATATCATACGTTTAAATAATGTCAAAGGTGATGGAAACTGTGGATTTCGGTCAGTTTCCGTCGGCCTTGGTCTCGATGAAAATATGTGGCCTGTAATTCCACAAGAGTTGTTACAAGAGTTAAGGTATCACGAGCAAGATTACACAGATATATTGACTTATATAGGCTTTAATTAAATTTGGAATACCGTGGATTTTTCGGGAACTGGTTTTGCCCCAATAGATAAATGGATGTCTATGCCAAAAACAAGGTTAGTTATCGCTTCATTTTATAAGAGACCAGTTGTATTCATATCCATGGTAGGTAGTTCTACGTGCTTTCCGCTTTGGTCCGGTCAACATGAGTCAGAATCAACTGGCCCCATAGTTGTTGCACGTGTGGGGATGAGTCATTTCATTAATCTATTGCTACGAGAAGGTTACCCAATACCGTCAACTCACCCACAATGGAGCAGGTATAGGATTGATAGGGCATCTGCATGGGAAGACATGTATTCAAGTCGACAAATGTAACATTTTCGTGATTGTAATCTTTACTCTCTATTTACGAAAGTTATTATAGTTGTTATATGTTTTTACTTTTTTTAATTGTTTCTTTTTTACACTATTAGTTATAATTATATGAGTGTTTACAAA